AAATAATAAAAATAATATTTTTATTTTTTATTTTTATTAACATAATTTTAAATTTGTAAATTTTTTTATTCTTTTAAAAAAATTCTCATAACTTTTTATATGTATAATTAATTTAATAAAAATTTATTAATTTTTTATATATCAATTTCTTACTAAATAAAATAAATTTATTAATTTAATAAAATTTTGATGAAATTTTATTACAAAATTTATTAATTGTTTATACATTATCTTTCTAATTATTTTTTTAAAAAAATTAGATAATATTAACTTTTTAACCAAACGTACCTTCCGGGGTTTACCAAATGCCCTCAGAATCACGTTTGAATTTAAAATCTTTCACCAAAGAGATCGAAGACCCTATTAAAGAGGGGCATAAATGGGGCTGCTGAAGTGGTTGGGCATTAAGTTTCTCCCTGGAAAATTTTTCCCTTCTTTTTTTTTTTTAAGAAAAAAAAAAGACGTTTCTGTCTGGAACCCTTGGTGGTTGGCAGTTTAAACTTTAAAGGCAGTAAAATTGTTGTGGTCCTTGTGGCGGGTAGCCTTCGAGCATTAAATGACGGCCATCAGTTTTCTAGGGACAGGACGCTTTTATGCCCGACCGTACGATTAAGGGATTGTTTGTTTTTCTTTTTATTTATTTGATTGTATAGTAAAAAATAATTATTTTTTATTTTTTATTTTTTATTTCATCTCATTACATGTAATACAACTTGAATTCAAAATTTTTTACTTTTAATGAAATAAAATAACTATTAAATTATTTAAATCATTTAATATTTTATTTTTATTTTTATGACGAATTACAATTTTTGAGGACAGAAGATTTGAATCTACCCTGAAAAGTTGGGATACACTTTTGTAAGGTATATAAATTATAGTTAAATACGTTTTTTTGTCCTTTTATTATTGAAAAAAAAACCTTTCTTTGGTTCATGTATTGAAAAAAGCTTTTTTTTTTTTGTCTTTGTATTGAAAAAATCTCTTTTTTGATCTTTATTGTTTGAAATTCGATTCCTTTTTAATCTTTTCATCAATTAAGTGACAGCATAACACAATAATCCGTTAAATATTTTATTTTTTTTTTCTTTTTAATTGTGACATGTGATTACACATTGTAAAATTGATGAGTTGGTAATAAAATTTATTTTTCATGTAATCAATAGGTTCTAAAATAATTAAAAGAAAAAATAATATTTTTCCCTTTGTCTTTTCATTTCCCATTTCTATCCTCATGTTCTTCCTAAGCCCAAATCCCCTATCCTCTCTACCTTTGCCTGAACTTAATCTCCCTCTCATCCATTGATTTCTTCTTCTTCACCAAACCTTCCTCCATCAAAGCCCTCAAATCTACACACCAATCTTCATCTCCATTAAAGCTCAAATCTTCACAAATTTGCCCTCATTTTCTTCCCCCTTCTATCTTATCCTCTCATTTCCCTGGCCTTCTTTTTTTTTTTTTTTTTTTTACCTTTGCCTTCTAGTTGGGTTCGCAAGGTTTGTCACGAACCTAGATGCCTTGGTTCATGACGAACCTAGAATCTCGCGAACTCAGCTCCTGGGTTCGTCGCTTGGCTTCATCTTTTTTGCTTCACCATTCTTTGTTTGCGTATTGGATCAAAGATTTTTTATATGTTGATTTTGGATTTCATGGTTAAGCAATCGTTGAAATTGGTAGAGGGGAGGCGATATTGCTCAAGATTATGGGAAGAAATTTCATCCGAAATTGAAATATATCGAGGAATGAGGAGAAAAGAATTGTTGTGAAAAATTAATTTTGGAGAGGACGGAAAGAACAAAATTTTGTGTTGAAAATTGTTAAAATTTTATCTAATATATGTTTGAAAAGTAAAAAAAATTAAATTAAAACTATTAAATTTGCTTAAAAAAATAATTAATTAAATATTACATATTAAATAAATCTAGTAAAATTATTACGATTCATATTTTATTTAATTTATGTTTAAACAGTAAAAAATAAATTAAAACTATTAAATTTTATTAAAAGAAATAAATAATTAAATATTACATATTAAATAAATCTACTAAAATTATTACAATAATATAATATTTTATTTATGTTTAAACAAAAAAAATACTACATATTAAATGATTTTAGCAAAATTATTATAGTAATTTAATATTTTTTCCTATTCACCTTATCATTTTTATCAATATTTATTTTTGAGTATTTTTGTGGAGAAAAAAAATAATTTTTTGGTACACATCATCATTTTTTTCCGACATGGCATTTCCATGTCTTTTTTTGGACCCTATTGATTAACGTGTAATTACACGTCAACGTTGAAAAGGAAAAAGACAAAATATTTAATGGATTATTGTGCCATATTATCACTTAATTGACAGATAAACTAAAAAAGAGTCAGATTTCAAACAGTAGGGATTAAAAAGAGGATTTTTTCAGTACATGGACCAAAAAAAGTATTTAACCTATAATTATTGAGTTATGAGGTTTAAGTGTAATCAAGTGTCTATTTGATATAGGTTTTTATTAGTAAAAACTATAGTGCAGATTATATAGTATAATATTAACTATTAAAGAGTAAGTTTTTTTGGGCAAATAAAAACAATGACCTCCGGAACTCTCTCAAATTTTGCTTCCGATTCGTCCTTCCCATCCTTGCAGGAGGTTGATCTTCTGGCTCGAAGTGTGAAGAAAATCAAGAATAATACCATCATAAGACCCAATGTTGAATGCTCTGAAATCACTATGACAGAACCTCACGAGTCGTCGGTGACGGTGACTCAGAGTGCGGAACAACCCCCAGCTGCCGTAAAACTCGACGCCATGGATATACCTACTTCGTTATCCTTTGCGGATCTCCTCCACAAAGAGGATAATGACCCCACCATCATTGAATTCTCCACACAGTCTAACTATCTTGATGAAGATTCTGATGTGGAGAAGGCTAGTGAGGAAAACATTCCAGCAGTTCTTCTCTCAAAGGCCAATAAGAAAAGAATCTAGCTTCCGTGGGTTAATTCTATCATCATTAAGGCTGCTTTTGCAGAATCAGTGGGCTACTCCTTCATCTATCCACGCATCAAAGCACAATGGAAACCTAAAGGTAAATGGGAATGTATTGACCTGGGACTCGACTTCTTTCTTGTTCAGTTTCAGGACGAGCATGACTTGCACAAAGTTGTCTATGAAGGTCCTTGGTTTGTTGGCCCCTATTACCTAACTATTAGATGGTGGGAACCAAATTTCAACCCAACCAAAGCCACCTTTTCAACTACAGTTATTTGGGCTAGACTTCCCAAACTAGCTACAAAGTTCTATGATCCAGAAACTCTAATTTGCATTGGAAACAAAATCAGGAATTTGTTAAGGGTTGACGCACACACCATCCATCATACCAGGGGCCAATATGCCCGTTTATGCATTCAAGTGGATATCAACAAACCCCTAATTACCCACGTCAGAATTGGGAAACATAAGCAAAGAGTTTTATATGAGGGAATCCAAACTCTCTGCTTTAAATGTGGCAAAATTGGCCATAAAGAAAGCCAATGCACAGGAAACTTTGCTAGTTCTAAACATGGAATTGTGGGACAAGAGTTAATGAGGCCGGGTGACTCCAGTAGTATGGACCCATCAAGGGACTCTGTTTTGACCTTCAATGCTCCACCTTCTACCTCAGCCACAAACCCACAGCCTGAGGATCAACCCTATGGCCCATGGATTGTTGTTGAAAGAAGGAAAAAGAAACCAACACCAAGAGGGAAGAATAGCAGTACCCAAAATGGTGTGAAACAGAAGGAATTGCCGGCGACGGCGTTGCAACCAAGAACAGGAAAAATGGTGAGTATTTCTAACCCAACTGATGACCTGATCCGTCAGATCAAACCAAAGGGCAAGGAGAGGCAGCCATCCAATCAACCAGCTGCTTCTAACGGACTCAGGTCTATCACCATAAATGCCACCCACTCTCTGTTTACTTAACCAACAGCTAGTATGTCGAGTCTCAAAATTCAAACAAAGAATGGCCCTTCTAATATTGTGAGACCTAATCCAAAGTTAGGTCTTAAAGGCCCAATTTATAGACCCATTTACCCAACTGCTAAGCCCGTTGATCCTAAAGGATTGAGTGCCCAAGATGAGCTCGCTTATCCCAAGCCTATTCCTACATCTTCTAAGCCCCAAATGGCCCAACATCAAGATACACAGCTTCCTCGGGACCCTGAACCGAGACAACCTCTCTCAATCCCTATCCCCTTTACCCCACAAGTCAACACCAGTCCCCCCCACCCCCCACAGACCACCATTGTTAACAACTCCTTGCATGATGGTGGATTTCCCATCAACCCATCTTCTACAAATGAGCAACAGTCTCGAAGCTTTTCTGGTGAGCGAGGGTCAAGTGATTTGGTTGGAGAGTGCTCTACAA